GATTTCCATGGGGAAAAAAAAACGGCTCCCTTTTTTGGTTGGGTGAGTTCAAAGGAGAACCCTTACCCAAAAATAAGTTGAAAAAACGGCACCGCTGCGCAACAGAGTTAAAACAAGAGACGCCGCGATCTGCGAAAGGCGTCGCCTCCTTCAACTTCTCGAGGAGCTCCTTGAAGTTCATCTCCTGAACCATCTCCCAGTACCTCAGCCCGCCGAGAGCACACCACCGGAACTCGTTTTGTTTGGTTGGCACAGGGAATTCCGACTGATACGGCCTCACTCCAGGTCAGCAGAAAAAAACACAAAGAACACTGGCCCTGCGGCTCCCAACGCATAAGCCCCCCAAACTAACAATCAAACCACATCTCCCTTTGTCAGTTGCGCAGCTCCACACTTTTCTTGCTGGTGCGAATGAACCGTTTTTGGGATTACGAAATCATAGGATGGATGGTTTACTTCGGGGGTCATTCCATTTCTCATTCCCTGCCTATCCAACGAGCTACACTTTTTTGGGGAGCCCAATGGTTTTCTTCTTTCGGACGTTCCATGCCGATCGAACCAGCTCCACGTTTTGGGGGAGCCCAAAGGTGTAAAAAAGATGCATCGCGCCACGCATCCCGGCGCATCCCAGCGCGCGCACGTTTGTCTGAGGCTTCGGCAGGCCCAAAAGTCTCACCATCTCTTTCCAAAGCTCCCCCCCTGCCATTGCTGCAGCCTTCGCAGAAGGCGAGGCAAAAGCGGCGCCCTTCATGGCTCCCGATTCAGGGAGAAAAGGACCCTCCTTTGGAATCCATTTGAGTGAGATTGATGGATATTGATGGGACAGTCTGGCAATGCTTGGACCGGAATGCATAAAGTATGAGACATACATACTCCTGTAGTCTCAGTTGCCTGTTACACAAATCCGGCCAACTGAGTGCATTTGCGTGCATGTTCATGCTCTGGAGCAACCTACTGCAGAAAACCTGTGCAAAGCAAGTCGAATCTCATTGTGGAGCCGGTGATCAACCAACACATGAGCGACATAACCGAGTTAAAAGCGGCGTCTTTTCAGCCAAACTGTATATGTGAAATTAGACAACCCAAACAACCACCTCAACTGGCTGGTGCTCGGTAGGGAATGAGGGCATGACCCGCATAAACCATCCCTTGTGGAGTTCTTTCAGCGGACCTCCTGGGTTGATTCCCACATTCCGTACTTATCGCACCAGCACGTAATGTGGGGTCCGAGTTTCGACGCTGAGTCCTGGGCAACGCGCCCTTGATCCTTCAGAGCTAAGTAAGCATTGACGGCCACCTGGCAAGCCCATCGAACTCTCAGCCCATTGGTTTTTGCCCTCTGAGCTACCAAGCAAACAGGCTGACCATCAGCGATCTTAGGTGACGCTCTGGTGGGAAAAGTCGAACTTTTAGTGGTTTAGTCGCAACCACCACTAAACCCCAACAACCGAAAACCTAAGGAACCGGATGGCTAGGAACCACCAAGAGCAGTCAATTGCCAATCTGCTCGCAGCCCTGAAGTTAACTCTGTACTGTTGTGGCTCACTCTGAGGCAATGGCATAACCAAAAATGACCACGTAGACGCCCATCATGAGCTGGGCAGACCAGTGGAGTTCGAGCGAACTTAAGTTGCGCAATTCGGCCTATAACAGATCCTGAATTCAGCAACATGCGATATGTCTGCATTACGTCCCCCAAAAGGCTTGATTTTTTGTTAGGTATATGTTCTTTACAACTTCTTGGAACACAGAAACACTGACTCTCAGCAAATTAGAAAGAGCGATGCGAAGGTAGATTTGGCAAACCGAGAAGCTTGCAAGTAATTGCGACAAATGCACGCGAGTGTACAGCCACCGCAATCCCAAGGATTCAACTTCAGGCTGCCAAGGCATACGTGCCTCTCTGACAGCGTATATTTTGTTGGGGTGTGCGTGTGTGTCAAACATCCATTGACTGCTTCTCCCAACCTGTGCGCAGGCAATAGAGCCAATTTTGGTGTGTGCGCCTTATCCTGGCAAACGCCAACACAATCAACGACTCTAAACCAGTCATGAGCCCATCTACTCCCTGCAGTGGGTGGACATCATCTAATTCGCACCACTTGGGAATTACTTGGGATAGATGAAGGCACTGGGAGAAACCATACCAACTGGTGCGAAGTGGATTTCGTCCATCTACTCCTGGCAACAGCTCACGCCTTGCTGACATCGGTGCATGTCTGGGACCACCAGTCGCAAACCCAATCACCTAGGCTCGAAGCTCATCGGACTTTGGATCACCTTCTCAACACATGGCAGCGGACTAAGCAAAACAACACTATGAGGTATGGATCAAGGGCCGGGTTCCACACACGATCCACACCTCGATCCATACCTGTGATCCATACTTTTGAAGGATGCACGATCCATATGCATGATCCACACGTTACATGTCAGCCTCATTTGTGAGTTCGAAGCTTCGACGTACCACTAGCACTACTAGTGCTACTATATGACGACGACAATGACGACTACTGGTGCTACTAGTTGTAGTGGCACACTACTAGTCATACAACTAGTGCTACTACACCCAAACACAAATTAATGTCAGTGACATCTTGGAATCAAGGGGGGAATCTGCATGGGACGCCGCGCGTTCAAGGGTCAAACCAGTCAGTGCACCTACTTGGAAGTTTGAAAGGGGACGCACGTGTCAAGATTTGCTTTTTCGTGCGCAAACAGCAGTCTACAAGGTGTAACCCACATGGTAGCTGTTTTCGGGTTTCATGGGCTCTGCCTTGAAACCTGAATGCGCTTTGCAGAATGAAGCCGTCTGCAAGGGCTACACTGAGCAGGAGTGAAACTCTTACTGCTGGGGCATCAGTTGAATCTACGGGGGCTGCTTCGGCGGTCATCCCACAATTGCAAAACACCCAGCGAGGCGGCTGACTATTCCTGTCTTTTGGTGTGCCGCAAAGTGCAGAGCGCGGTTCTGTCTTTGCACAGCAGCTCGTTCCCCGCCCCTTAGAGGCGGTGAGAAGCTTGGGTCCTATCACCTGTTTGTAGAACACAGTCGGCTCCGCCTCCTGCAAGGCGTCATCTGCATGGCGCTGCCGGCAAGGTACTAGTACTACTACAACTACTACTACTCCCACTACCACTACTAGTACTAGTACTCCTGCTACTACTACTGCTACTACTACTACTGCTACCACTACTACTACTACTACTACTACTCCTATTACTAGTACTACTACTACTTCTTCTTCTTCTTCTTCTTCTACTTCCCACACTTCCAAATGGACGGCTGGCACCAACTCTGCACTCCCACAGCTCTTTTCGCAAGATCGGCCCACCCAATCTGTGAGTGTTTTCTCTTTCCGGACCACCCTATCTTTACAAGAAGCCCGAACCACACGTCTGACTGAAGAGACCACTAGAGCTGCTCCTGCATAGAGGTACTGGTCAATCTCACGCTACATGCCACAACTCAGCTTGTTCACTGTCTTCGAGACAAAACTTCTAGACACTGTCATGTGTTTGTCTATATCTTAACACCACTCTTATTGTCGGGCGTTCCTGGAGCTGAGAGCGTTTTTCGACGCCGCTTGGACGCTCATTTCGGATGTCCCGCTTAGCGCAATGTAATGAATTGCAGTCAAGCCGCTGATGCGGTCTAAAAGGAAGAGAACCAAGCCGAGCAGGCAAAAGTTGGCGAAGCCGACAAGTGCCTGGCATCAATGCAGGGCGCTTTCTAGACGCACTCAGACAACGTGCATGAATATAAACACATGGAGTGACATAAGTAATTCAAGCAATGATGGACATCAACGGGATGCGAACTGCTAAATGCACAATCAGTGCGGAGCCCTTTTTCTGATAGTCTTGAGAACCACCGCATGTTGTTGATTTTCAACCTTCGTCATCCTAAGTGCTGATCTTGGCAGGTTTCTTTGCACATGCTGCGTGTCTTGACCCCATCATTTGCCAGCTAGGCAGTGTGTGACATACTGATTAGTGGCCTGCAAACGCAGACTGGCAATGATCAGCGCATGCTCTGATGCAGGAGCTCCTTGTTTGGAAGCAGTACTGCTCTCTACATGCAGTGGCAGTTCTCTATCAACAAAGCGACACTAGAGTCACGCGAATGTGGGGTGCGTGATTCCTGCGTGCTTCGTGGCATGTAGCCTTCTGTGAGCTACTTCGTCAAACTTCCTCCAACGGATCGATGCGGCTTGCCTTCTCCAGTCGCCTGGAATTCTCCTCGCGACTGTCTCCAAGCTTGGAGACATGTGTCTGGAATGTACTCAAATCCACTTGGCTGTTTATAAACAGGGTGCCCCTGACTCCTGACCCCCCCAGATGAGCAGAACACACTGAGCAAAGTCTATCCCAAACAGGATTTATCAAATTTGGGCTTTGCGCAGCCAAACTTTTCAAGTGTCTGATCTGACAGAATCCCGCTTAGCTGTAAGGATGTGGACACTAGAGCCCCCCAAAGGTTTTCCATTCCACCGCATACCCCCCTCTTCATCACTGACATGCGCTTCACTTGAGCCAAAACCTTTGAGAGACTCTGGCGAGATCTCCGCAAAGGACACCAATGGAATAAATAAAACCAATCCAACCAGAACCCACCGACTTTTAACCAAACAAGCCTAAAAAGGACACCCAAAGCGCCGGCTCCTCCGAGTATCTCTTTTGCAGGTCGTCCAAGTGGCCGCAGATCTCCTGCCAGGTGGCCTTTCTGGTGTCGTCCGACCTCAGGCCCGACAAGGTGTCAAATGGCCATGGGTCAATGAACATGCCAATCCCCACTAAAATAGGTTCTAAAATGGTTGGTGCACCTACCCCAAAATGGTACCATTGGTTTTGACCCACGGCCAAATCCTTTCACCCTTTTTGGGATCCAACTTGGAAACCACTTGTCACATAAAACCATCTCTCTTCAAGATCTGGCAAGAGAAGGCAGCCAACCCACTCGCAGTGGCAAGTGCTACTTCTCAGGGCCCCTTTTTGCACTAAGGTGACAGCCCGAAGATCGTGACACTCTTGAAGTCATCCTCGAGAGGCAGCATGACACCTAGATATGTAAAAAATGAAGCTCCAAAGGAAACCCCGTAATATGGGTGCTGTCTTTTGTCAGGGGACCCACCAGTTTGGGGGGGGGGGGGGTCCTTTAAACCACAAATAAGGTATGGGTGTCTTTTTTCAGGGGACGCCGCAAAGTTTGCGGGGTGTCCTGTAAACCACAAAAAAAGGTTGGCACCAACTCCAAAAGGTTGACGACGCGGCCATATGAGCTCTTAGGCGATCAGCCGGATGGATGTGTCGAATCCGCGCGGTTTCACTCGCTGCCCCTCTGGATATTTTTGTTTTGCAGTGAGATATGGAAGTCGGAAGTCCCTCGAAGATTGTTACTTGTTTTTTAACGAAAGCTAGTCCAAGGAGGAGGGGTCGCTAAGGCTCTCTAAGGAACCCTGAGCAACCCTAGGGCTCTCAGCTACCTGCTTGTCTGCCTGCCTGCCTGCCTGCCTGCCTACCTACCACCCACCCACCTACCTTCCCCCTTTGGGGATTCCATCAATTTGGGAAAAGCACCGCGGCTCGCCGCATGTCCTCCACTTGCCTGCTGATGCGCTTGCTCAAGCTCTTGAACTCTTCTGGCTTCATGCCTCAAAAAGCTTGAAAAAGCTCTCGATGCACCGCGGCTTCTTCGGACTTTGTTATTCTCTTTTATTTTTGCGGCGAATCAGGTCTAAAAACATCAGGCTACATGTCCCCTCCAAATATCACCCGGCCACGAGGACCCCACCTCAAAGCGGGCCCAACCGATCTGATCTGCAAAAAAAAACACGCAAAAAGAGTCTCGGAACCTTGAGATATGACGAGGTCCTCCAGTCGTTTGAGAGGTTAGAATAAGGGTACCAACTTGTTTCTGTCTATTTTAGTAGGGCAACCCTCCCCAAAAAAGGGGGTGAGAAAGGGCACCTAGCTGGGGGACCTTGATGAGGACAGCCGTCAGGCTTCTGCCTTACGCTGTCCTCCAACCGATTTGGACTGGCTCTGTCTCGGGTGAGAAGTTGTCATCCTAAAGACTAGAGACTCTGAAGAGAAACAAGACTGGTCTGTGGTAGTTTGACCTCTCCTCCCTCAACCTCCCCCCTTTTGCCTGAATTCGTATGTTTGTCATGCCCATCAGCATCCCATGTCAATGGACACATTGATCAACTGGTTCATTTGATGTCCCTTTTTGGAGGGAATCCTTCACCGGCTGTGTCCATTTCTCGGCCCGTTTTGGCCGGGTTTCAATTCACACCCACCACTTCTTCTTTATCTATTTTTTTCTTGGGGGGTGTCCAAAAAAAAAAAAATCGGACTTTTTCTCGAATCGGTTCATCAATCCACGCAGAAGAAACTGTTTCTCCATGCCTCGAGGATGCTGCTGCACTTCCTGGACCAAATCGGGTGGATGGGACCTCACGAATTCCTATTTCTTGGAACCTAGACGATGAGACGGCTGTGGGTCAAAAGTAGGTACCCAAAATGGCACCCTGGTAAATGGAAGCAATGACTAAAACCTGTGGTCCCCTGGTGGTTTAATCTTGACCCATACTCAGATCCTGGAAGAAACCCTCACCCTCTGGCTCATGGACCGATTACTCTACATGTACTTCTGGAAGAATCGATGCTGGGTCCATTTAGAGCCAGGGTACAGAGTAGTTGCCCAGTCGCCCAGCAATGTGACCAAAGAATTGGATCTGGAGGGTTGGTCAATTGATTCTTGGAACAGATCTCAATCCAGTTTCGCTTTCGTGTGGTAGTGCCAAAGTCAAACATGTTGTTTCATGATGTTTCACGTTGCCCACTCCTTCACAAAAGTATATTGTCCAGAAGCCGGGAAAGTGAGTTTGGGAGCCTTGCGCGCGTAGAGGCGCAGAGCGCAAATGCAGTGCTGTCAGCTTGCTTGACCCTACACAAGCTGACCCATGCGTGCGCGACCTCAGCAGGCCTCATGGGCGCTGCCTACTGAAAGACTTGCGCTGCATTTTGTTTGACGGGGCTGGGCGCAGGTTGGGAGGGTTGCCAGATTCGGCTAGTACGGGTATCCTGCAAGTAGCAGCCAAGCCATCAAGTCATATTTAAGGCAAAGGATACAGCGACATTCATCTGGTGAATCGCAACAATACTCAATGAGGGTTCCATTTGGTGAGAATGTTTGCAACCTATCAGCCACATGTTGAAGAACTGGAGCTTCGTCCTCCGCTGAATTCAAGAACCTCGACATCTGTCGGTAAACCAGCACTATAGACCACAACTGGCTGGTGAATGTCGGCTGACAGCGAGGTCAGCTTAGAACAGAAGTCTAGCATTGGAATTGGCTTTCAACTTGTCCACCAACCAGCTCTAGTAAGCAAATACTCTTGCCAATAAACGCGACGTTTCATGAATTGTCCTGCTGGTGGCGATCACGTTTTGGCATTCGATCTACTTGCAAATGAACAACATCACAGACTCTATATTCACGCCGTTTCCAGTACCTCGGCATATCTGCTCTTGTTCTTGGTCATATCTATAGATTCAAGGGTTACCGGTTTGGGGCCCAAAAGGAAACAACAAACCGTCCAAGTGCGCTGCTCGCACATTTTTCACGCTTGAACAGCCACACTGCGGATGCAACGGATGTAAAACCCCATATTGACCGATCAAATTCTTCACCCCCCTCTGCGTGTTAAAGGGGCCTTTCACAAAGCAGCCAAACAGTAACACAACAGAGGGAGAAGGTCAGGGGAACCGTTGCTCACATGCAAACCATGACAGTTGCACTTTTAGCGCCACTGCCAAGTTGAGTAGTTACTGCTACTGTTGTCCCATCCGCTCCATCCGGACCAATTCTGCCAGCTGCCTTGGCTCCAATGCTCACCCTCGCGGGCGGCGGGAGCTCTTGTCTCGGCATAGCGAGCGGCATTGCGAGCAAGGTGTTTGCTGCTCTCGTTCCTCGAAAATTCGATCGAGTTGCGTGCATACCGCTCATTCTGGCTGAAAATCCAGTCCATCTCGTTGCGGAGGTTGTCCAACGTGTTGCTTCGCAGATGGATGATGCCATTCCAACAACCAATGCTGCGAGGCTTGTCTTGCTCAAAGACCACGTTGATAAAAGCTCTTGGGCTGTAAGGCATCCCTTGGAACATAATGATCCAGCGAGAGGAAAGCGCATCTTGAAGTTCGTTGGGCAAGAACTCCAACTCTGTCTTGATATACGCGAGCCTTGCGATTCGCGACTCCGAAGTTGATCCAAGGCCAACTCCCAGAGCGCGCTGGGCTTGCGACTGCTTTGGAGCAGCCAAGACGAGATTTGCGCTCAACTCCATGCGGAGCATGTCCGCTTCCCGACGGCCCACCTCAAGCATACGAACCCTGTATTGAAGGTCGAGTTCATAGCGATCAAGCAGAGAGTGGTAGCCGTTCTTCAGGGCGGACTTGTGCTTCTTCCGTGCCTCCTGAATAACAGCACTGTCCGGGGAGTTCAAGCCACGAATGATGCTGCTACGATCCTCCTCGCGGAGGTCAAATGTTCCCACGGATGCCAGGACCTGAGCTGTGACATGGGTGCTGAGGCCCATCTTCTTCAACAGATTGGACCGCTGCACAATGTAATTCTTTTGTTGCTCTTTCAGCAGGCGTGGATTGAGGGGAGACAACTGCCCACATGATGCGCAGTGCGCCTGCCCCTCGAAGACACTGTTGTTGCAAACCGGGCACGTGGCGACATTCAGCTCAACGTTCTCCATTGGGTTGAAAGTCTTCTGTCTCTTCGCTTCCCCTTGCGGGGCGCGAGGAGAAGCCACATTTGTGCGGGTTGTAGCAATACGTTCCAGCGCTGTAGAGCGATCATCAACCACGGCTTGGTCGCGCTTCATCCCCTGGGGTTCATCCTCAGTCGCCTCAGCTGGTGCACCTGCATCCGATTGCTCGGAGCGAGTGTACCATACATCGCCATTTGTAGCGTCCAATACAGAAATAATCGTGTAGTTGGGCACCTTGTCGCGCGTAAGGACGCCGTCGCTCTCCGTCTTGAAAAAGCAAAGCCCTGCGCGAATGGCCATCCTGAGGTCGATCTGTATCTCCAGGGGTTTGTTCGCACGTACACCTGAGATGTAATTTTCGTTCGTGCTTGGGATGTCAGCGAAGAAAACGTGAGGTCTGCCTGTCTCGTGCTGGTCCCCTCCTCCTGGAAGCAGTCCGTTCCGCATGATGTTAGCGAAGTTACGCTTATCAGTGCGGTGATAAAGCACCGTAGGAGGGTTGCTGCAGACGTTCCAGCCAGACCAGCGCCCGAGGTCAGTTGCCGGGTTCACGTACCACTCCTTCGCGATGCCGGAGTCGTCGATCTGGAGCCAGTCCTCATGGCCTTGAGAGGCCTTCAGCTTGAAAAGCCAATGAGAACATGGGACGTCTCCGCACCGGCTTGCGTCCGGGCAACCAAGCCCAATGAACCTCTGCTTTTTGTCCAGCTTGAAGATGTCCATGATATTCTGAATATTTCATGGAATGGGATGTCGCAGCTCCTTGCGAAGCGCGAGTCCCAGGTCTTCGAGGTCCATGTAGCCGTCCTCATCCATCACGTGCCCGCATCCTTCTGTTCCACGACCTCGGAGGATCTTGGAGATGCACGTCAGGGAACTGTGGTACTCATTACTGATTCTCCTGACGGAAGGGTCGTAATCGAAAGAGGGCTGCTTGATGATGTCGAGTCTCTTGGGGCCCTCACCGTAGTCGACATACTTCACGCCATCATGAATGCTATACACCCAGCCCCCCAGTCACGCTCCTCCCGTAGGAGTCGAGTGGTACCGGCCTGCTCGCCTCCTCGTCCCTTTTTGCCACCGCAGCCGCCTTTGCACCGGCTTGCGCCGGGCGAACACTTTCGGAAACATCAGCACCGGAAGGCTCACCTGTAGTTGCAAACTCGGCTGGGTTGACGGGGGCGAAATCGAGGGGCTGCCGGACTTCCACTTCTTCACGGGTGAAAGGGACCCCGATCATCTCTGACAAAGAAACACCGCACTTCGTTAGCGCGAGAACCTCAACGTTGACTGTGCAATCTTCTTGGTGGCGCACCTCGAGCACATCGATCGGACGCATGGTGCAATCATGCGAACGTGTCAGCTCGGCTACGCTGCCCATTGCGGGGCGCAAGATAGAAAGCATATACAACATGTGATGGGTTCCGCGCATGAACTGGACGGTCTTCGTGATGTTGTCGTCACTGAAGCACATATGATACCTGTCCAGCAAATCGATGGTCTCAACAAAGGGTGTAGCATCTACGTACACAAACATATGATTGGGGTCGCCGATGATGTAATCCCGGACTTCCGTCATGAAACGGTCCCAAATCATAGAGAAGCCGTAGAGATAGCTTTTCGCGCCGGTCATGACTCCAAGGCATGCGCAGCCCTTGCGGGCCGCGAAGTCCCTGGTCCAAGCCAGGTGCCGTTTGGAGTCAGCAAGAAGTTGACCGAACTCGCCGGTGGGGGCATCAAATGGATATGTACCAGTGGGCTCGAGGCCGTCCTTCCCAACGAGCTCGTTGCCATTCCAGTAAATCATCGGAATGATGGTGGCTGCTGGGTAGTTGGTACGCACCTCGTCGATGAGGGCGGCCAACCGCTTGCACAGCTGTTGTAAGCCCTTGCCCCAAAGCATTTCTGACCTCCATGCACCGACACGCGCCGGGCGAGAAGCATCCAAACGCTCCGCAAAGTCATACTTGCGAAGCTTTTTCTTCTTGCCCGAAACCATGGACAGTCCTGAATCAGCGACAGTCACATAGATAAGGAGGTCGCGATCTGGTACACATGTGGGGCCTGCACAACCTTCAAGTAAGGTTCGCTTATAGTTAACAGGGGTGTAAGCAACTGCAGGAAGTGCGGCTGGTCCTGCACCCATGTATGGATAAGCGACTGTGCAGAGGTCGTCTCCAGGAGGCCCTTGACCGTGGCGGCGAGGTTAGCGTCGTATTTGCCGTTCGTGCATACCGATGTGGTAGCGACATTCTCCATCCACCTCCTCCATGCCGGATCGCAATCCCTCGCGGGATGCGCCATAGCCGTTGCGCCGCTCATTGCGAAAAAGATGCAGCGCAATCACTCGAAAGCAACGGCTGCATGGTGGCATGTTCGGAAAATGCATTGTGAACGGCATCAGTGTAAACGTACGTGTATCCCTCGGCTTCCTTCAAGTGAGTGCCACGGCTTTCATCATGCTCGTGAGAACCATCACACTTGAAGTACTCAACAACGGAAATAGTAGGCATATTACTGGCAACGACCCATTGCTTTTTCATTGGTTTTCCATTTCTCCCTTTGATACCGATTTTGCAACCATGGAATTCATACTTGTTCATCTTGTACTTAGTCAAGAAACTCCATAGTTCGGGCCATTTCCAAT